TCTGCAGCATGAGCCAAAAGAGGCCATTTATATGAATAAGCCATGAAAACAGCTTGGGTGGTTCCACAAACTGGGTGGGGTGGGGTCACAGGGAATCAACAAGGCAGGGCTAACAGTGTTATCCAGGTTGATAGACATATGATTGGCAACGGCCTACTGGATCTGTGAGGGGCGGGCTCAGCAAAGGAGCAATGACCTCTGCCAGCACTTCTGAGAGAAAGCTGCCCCTTCAGCCCTTACCCTGAAGCCAGACAATTCAGTTCTTTCCCATATGTCCATGGTGCCTTCTGATCTGCTGCCCCAGTGCTGGAGCTCAGAACAGTAAGTTTGGGTAAGTCCACGTTCAGGCTCTGTAAGAGGAACACCTTGGACTCTAGGAACCCATCATCTCACTCAGCCACAATCTCTGCTGGTTCTTATAGTCAGAAGTTACGGGGATTTCTCTTCCTGGCACTAGAACATTGAGCTGGGGGTTCTGATGTGGGGCCAGGACCAGTTGCTCCTTAGAGGGGACCTCTAAAATTTGTTTTAATGCTCACCCAAGAATATGTTTTTATTGATTTTAGGGAGAGAGGAAAGGAGATTTATTGATTTGAGAAAGGGAGAGAGAGAGATGGATCAGTTGCCTCCTGACTGGGAATCAAACTCGCGACCTTTCTCATTTTTGGTGTATGGGACGACACTCCAATCGACTGAGCCACCCAGCTGGGGCCATCCCTCCCAATTTTTAACTGCCACATGTGGGTATGGGAGCAGCCTGTTCTGCATCTCCTCCCCACCTACCAGTCTCAATGTGGCTTCTCCTCTGTATCCTTAGTTATAGGACTTCTGTTCAGCTAGATTTCAGGTATTTTGAATGATGATTGTTCTGTACTTTAGTTGTAATTTTGATGTGATTATAGGAGGGTCCAAGTACTGCATTTACCTATGCCACCACCTTCACAGGAACTCCATTTCTTATGTCTCAACTTCACTATTTTCAGGTTATTTTTTCTAGTATGCCAGACACTGCATTTGCAAAGCTGTCTGTAGAAAAAATGTGAGGCCAAAAATGATGTTACTGTTTTCAGGGAAGATTAATGTTTACTTTTGCCTATTTCCCAATCTATAAAATGGGGATAATATAACTACTTCATGAGTTGTTCTGAGGAGTAAATGAGTTAATAGAAGTAAAGTGCTTAAGATAGTGCCTAAGCAAAAAATCAATGAATTATAGTATATGAAGACAGAAATGTGTCAGATACTGCTCAATAGGACATTTTCATAAATGATTTAAGGTAGAACTGATACATTCATTAAGAAATACTCATCATGAACATTTTATGCTGCAGGAACTATTTTGGGTGCTGAGTTTAGAAATGTGCCTGATAATTGTTGGGAGGTGCAATCCACCACAGTTACAGAATCTTTCTGTGGAATACACAGACATTTTTTAGAAGCCTCATCTGTATTTCTTGATAATTTCTATCAGTTCTAGGCCTTCTCAATATTAAGTCAGGGTCACCAAGTGTGAGGATCTGAAGCCTGTCCACCTGTTTCTATTTTATTTATTATTATTATTATTTTATTTATTTTTTTATCCTCACCCGAGGATATTTTTCCATTTTTTTGTTCAGATAGAGTGGGAGGAAGAGAGAGGAGGAGAGAGAGAGAGAAACATTGACATGAAAGGGACACATCGAGTGGCTACCTCCCGCACGCACGACCCAACCAGGGCCGGGGACAAACTGCAACCGAGGTACGTGGCCTTAGCAGAAACTGAACGCGGGTCTCTCTGGACCGCAGGCAGATGCTCCAACTGCTGAGCTAAACCGACCAGAGCCACCTGCTTCTATTTTAATAGTACATCTCTGGATTGTATACATTTATAAAGAATTAAAGACAACAGTGTTGGCTTTGGAACAATGAACTAAAGTTGAGATTTAAACAAATATTTAGATGTATTCTGAAAAAAAAACTTTAAAGAATGTGGAAGCACAGCAGAAAGCTAGGGGGAAAAACAAAACAAAAAATAATCAATTTAGCTCACAGCCATCTAGGAAAGGACAAAGACTCTAGAATAACTATGCATGTTGAAAGGGTGTAATAATATTAATAAATGTGAGTAATAATAATTATTATGCACAGTGGCTAAAACCACAAATCAAAGAACAATTTTCAAATGCATGTAATGTGGAAAAGCTTTTTGTATAAGTCTCTACATTTATACCTTTATATATAGAATACATACGCCAAATTAGAAATTACCCTAGAAATAAACATTAATCTTAACAGACTATTTCAGCAAGTAAAATTACTGTGAAACTTAAATAAATACTATACATAAGGCAATGCTTCTCATCTAATAATCAAATCTACTTCTGAATGTGGACAATTCCCTAGATTTTAAATGGGGATAACTAAAATCCATTTGTAAATTGTTTGACTAGAACTTAGAACATGTTTTTTCTACAGTGTCAATGTTATAAATATGGTTAGGTTTCCATTTCTATCCCTCTAGGACATTTCACAAATACAGCTATTGCTTTCATAGTATGCACTATGTGTCTGAAATTAAGTGCTTTTACATTGAGAACAGCAACCTTCTACATCAATATGAGAGCAATGGGGTCTAAGAACTGAGACCACGTGTGACAACATGATTCATTTGTTTGTTACAGGAAAGCTTTGTCCAGAAAAGATAAAACTGTAGACCAATAAATAACTTCATTGTTTGCTTCAGGAAATTCCCATATATTAATTTATCTCAGACAAACAATCTGCTCACCTTGGCAAAGAATTTACTTATCAAGCAACAGTTTACTTATCAAGACTGGCTTCAAGACTTGGCCTTGCTATAGATACAAATCATAAAACTATTATGTCATTAACTTTTTCAAGTCTGCTCTCCACCTACACCATTCAAGCCCAGAATCCCACGTTCCGTGAATTTTCTCCCCTGACTTGCCCCTTCAGAAACCATCAAGACTGTCCAGGCAGAGTCTTCTGTTATTGCAGGAAGTTCTGATAAGCTCTAGTTTTGTTTTATTAACCAACTGTCTAACAATATTTTAGGGTAGTTCAATAACATTTGTTATTATTTTAATCCTCATAACAACCTTATTAATCTAGGTTCTACTATTATGTGCCTTTCAGACATGAGAAAACTGAGGTACACTGAATAAAGTGACTTACCTAAAGCCACAAAACCATTTAATTCACATGAATCTAAACCATGGTACTAATATAACTAAATCATTCTTCCCCTAAGTCCACCAATTTGAAGAATCCCTGAAGAATTCAGTGCTCTGACTCAGCCCTGAGCCCCTAACACTGTAAGTAGTAATTTTACTGTGTTCCTCACTGCTCTGTGAGCTCTCTGAGGACAGACATATCTTCTGTCACCATCCTGCCAGTGCCTACCGTAATCTCTGATATATGACAGGCATTCAATAAATGTTCACAAAATAAATATGATAAGAAACTCCTCAAGTTAAAAATATATACTGAAGTATTTATGTAACATAAACTGCCTGAGATTTGCTTTAAAATCCTCTTGGGGGAGTTGTGGTGGTGAGTGTTGTGTGCACGTTCACGGGTGCAGAGGAAATAAGATGAAATAAGATTGGCAAATGTTGATAATTGTTGAAGTTGGTGATAAGTGCATGGGGATTCATTATACTCTACACTCCATTTCTAGATGTTTGAAATTTCCCAGAATAAAAAGCTTAAAAAATGGCTAATTTCACCAATATTGTAGTAGGGATACAAAGTACCTGATCCTTCACATATATATTGGCTTCAACTCAAGATTAACATCAAAACTCAAAGCAAAAAAAGTATTCTTCTTATCTGTGGATAGAGTCCAAAATTTAAGAAAGCACTTATTTTTCTGCTTAGGAGAATTTTATACAGTCTCTAGCTGAGCAGCAAGACTTTTTCCAGCTGTTCATCTCTCCTGACTATATTAGAAACCTCCAGTTTTCTTCTAATAAAAGGAGCCTGTACCACACTAGGCAGCAAGCTGGCCTTCTCTCATTCATTCTTGCTTTACTCACTGGCTTTTTACCGAGCACAAAGTAATTTCATTAAGTGCCAACCCATCCCTTTATTTGAAGATAATCAACCTCAAGAATTCTTAAAGTAAATATCTCAGTATATGATGCATATTCCTTTAAGGGCATAGAATATTTCTTCCAGCAACACAGGTTAAAACACAGTGCAAAATATGCTTTATATTAGGCACTTTTTAGCCTGGTTCCTGGGTAGTTCTTTCCTTTAAATGTGGATTTTTACCTCCTGATAACATGGAAATCTTTCTAAAATGCAGAGAAAAATGCAAATGACCTTCAGTACAACTGATTTTACTATACCTATACCTTTCCTCTATTTTAAAATCAATATAAGGCAAAATGTGATATGTAGCAAATACCAAGGGTCTCAAGTGCTGAACAGAAAACAAGGCTCGGCCCGGCTGGGTGACTTGGTTGGAGTGTTGTCCCGTACACCAAAAAGGTTTCGGGTTCATTCCCGCACATACCTAGGTTGCAGGTTTCAACCCCAGGTCAGGGCCCATGTGGGAGGCAACCGATTGATGTTTCTCTCTCACATCAATATTTCTCTCTCTCCCTCTTCCTCTCTTTCTAAAGTCAATATATAGTATCCTCGAGTGAAGCTTACAAAAATAAACACAAGCCTGGCCAGTGTGGCTCAATGGATTGAGCATCGTCCATGGACTGAGAGGTCCTGGTTTGACTCTTGGTCAGGGCACATGCCCAAGTTGCGGGCTCGATCCCCAGTAGTAAGCATGCAGGGGACAGCCGATCGATGTTTCTCTCTCACATCAATGTTTCTCTCTCTCCCCCTTCTACTCTCTCTAAAAAAATCAATAAAAGCATATTAAAACACACATACACCCAAAAACAAACAAGTAAAAAAAGAAAATAAGGCTCAGAATACAATGACTTATTGATGTATTACATCAGGAATGTAGATCAGTCCTTTCACAATATCTTTATGTGTTATTTTATTAAATGTATCCTTTGACAATGAGAAAATGGATTATGGTATTCTGTTGTTAACTATTATTTTATTGTTTATTTCAAATACAAGGAAGGCAGTGTTTTAAAAATATTTATACAGCATGACATAAACATGTAGAAAAGTAAACTTAGGAGTAAGTTCCATAAACGGAGACGTCTAATACCTGCTGCAATTGGAATCATTGCTGCGCCTCAGAGCAATGACAGCGTAACACCTGGGAGATGTCACAGGGTCAAACAGCTTCACGAGGGCACACCATGCAATATCTTCCTGCAAAATGACAAGCAATTTAGACATAAAACCATTTGCTGAAGATCAAAACGAGAGATAAGTTAGGTGATATACTGTAATATTAAAAACTACATATAAAACACCAAGCTATAGAAAACTATTCCTTGTTGAATAAAATTAATATTTACAATTTCACCTTTAGGAATTTATGCTGAGAAAATAATTAAAGATGTACATAATGAACTACAAGGTTACCCTTTGCTGTGACTGTGAAAAACTGAAATTTGCCAATAACAATTGCTACTACTAAAATTATTATATGATGAAACATTATTCAACTTCTATAGTAGATTTAATGAGATGGAAAAATTCTAAATTAAATAAATGAAACAAGTGAGATGCAAACAACATTCATAATCTGATTCTCATTTTAAATACAGTATAAAATACATACTAGAGAGAACCACCAGAAAACCAACCAAAATTTTAATAGTTAGTGCAGAAAGGTGGCATTGTTACTTTTAATTTTCCTTTGTATATTCTTCATTTTACATTCCAAAATAAATATGTATTAATTTTATAAGATATTATTTAAAATACTAACAAATTAATATTTATATGATTTCTGTCATCATTACCAGTCTATTAATCTTTGTGCATGCCATTTTCACTACCTATTATATGTAGGTCAATAAAAATTGTTCTGAAAGGGAAATGATGAGTACCTAGTAAAACAGAACTGATTCTATCACCTACCAGCTTTGGAACCAAAGCTTCACAGTGCTTTTTGAGTTAGTAGCTTAGGAAAATACATCATTTTCTAAATATTTAAAAATTGCTTTTCTTCATGTAAATACAAATGAGAACAAAAGCAAACATTTATTAAAATCCATTTGTTCCAAGTAGCCTGTTGCAAAGAAGAAAGCAGAGCTCCCCATATGATAAAAGAAAATTGTTAAAATAAAGGGTTTATATAGTGAAAACAAAGCCTAAATCCACAAATGGGTTTAATTTAAACAGTCCACAAAACTTTATTTTGATCAAAGCTGAGAAAAATGTGCAAAAAACATTTTCCCTGAAGATAACCAAAAGAACAATATTTTTAGTCATTCAATATAGATAAATAAGATTGGAAAGAAAAAAAAACTAACACAAACCAGAAACAGTCTTCATTGATCAGAAAGACGTATCTGACTGCAGAGTACATATGTCCCAAAATTCAAAAGTGAAATAAAAGGCAAATTCTTACAAAATGTAACATATATATGATATCTTTTATGTCTAGTCTTTATTACTCTTAGCTATACAATACAGCATATATGATCGTTTGTGTTCACTGCCTACTGTATAGTAATTACCATACAATTAAAAGAATGTAAGCTTTTGCTGAAAACATCTGCTACGCACATGTTTATGTTTTAAAAGAGATGGAATGAATATTTAAACTTTGAAAATATAATGAGAAAAATTATCTTATGTTTTAATCTTAAGTTTTATGTAAAAGAAATGTATCCTACATGTCAGTGGATCCAAATGACTGAATTTAATAAAGATATTTGTTACGCATTTAAAAATAACATAATTTACCTGCTCTTTCAGGTAGCAGAGTCGATCCAAAAGAATCAAGGTCTCTATACAAGGGGCCAGAACAACTTTCAACTAAAGGAAAGAATAAGATAGGATGGTGTTACTTAAAAAAAGAGAGAGTAGCAAACTAACTCAACATTATGTTTTTAAAATGTATCTATAGAAATTTCTATAGGGCCAAATCTTTAATGCCCATTGTACAACTTCAGAATATGAAAACTGCAGAGATCAAAAGTTTTTCTTTAGTAATAATAGGAAAAGAACGTCCTTTAAGTGACTTTGAGGTAGAATCCAAAAGCTATCATACATATGTGATAGAAAGTTTTTAAAGGGGTACTAAGAATGAAATTCATTAAAAGGAACGCTTGTGAAATAACAGAATTGTGACCAATATGTGTTCAAAGAACCCTGAAACTTCTTTCTGTGCATTTATAATACACTTTAAGAGAAATCTACCATGTGTTTTCTTTATTACATTACTGACACCTAATATAGTTCTGAAATAGGAAATGATCCCAAATGATTTTTCTACAATAAGAGAAAAACAACATAGATTGGTTGGCCTCATAGTAAAATTTAATAGGATCCTACTCAAGGTTAGCAACAAACCTAATTTAATATGCTTAATTCTGAGATTTACCATATTAAAAGCTTCCAGCTCGTTCATTCTAGGCTTATACTTCTCATAGTAGTCCATTATAATTTTTTCTGGCAGCTTCAAGATAAAACAACAAAATTAACCATACATTTTACAATTATTAACATTTTTTCGTATCAAACACACCCTAAAGTAAAATAAACATAATACATGTAAAACAAGCTAGGTGTCTGAAGAGCTCTACAAATATTCATGAAGCAAGTCAATATAAATCTAAATTCTTTTTACTTAATCTGTTGTACCAATATAGGTTATTCAGCATATCACAAATAAAGTTTCAACCGGTAGTGACAAAATATTTGCTTTCTCTTGTTTCTGTGCTAGGGGCACATAGTAAGAGCTAGATAAACATTTTTTGAATAAAATTAAGATTCAAAACAATGTATCTAAAACTATATATCTTAGAGAAAATGATTCAGAAAATAGGAACACAATTATGACACAGAGTCGTATTTAAGGTAATTCCCTCTAACATCAACTAAATAAATCCACTAACAAGCATTATTTTCTGATTTTTTTCTCTCTAAAACACATGATACCCATAGTACAGTGAACTCTTGTGGTTAACAGGCCATTTTCTAGATCACCTACATGTTGTTGTTCCCAACAATACTGAGTCAACAGTATTTGTTATTAAACTTTTATGCTAGTTATGTTATTGTAGTAAAATAATATAAATATTACATAACCGATGAATTATGAATGCAAAAGAAACAGTTTCTGTAAGTTCAGCGCCTCTGTGAAAGGCTTGATAAAAGCAAGTCACCAGAAGAAACTGTTGTTGTCAAGTTACATGTGGTCAAAACAAATGTAAGACCGGACAAAAGGAGTAAAAAATCTGAAAGGGTTTGTACTTAGATTTCTTTGCAAATGGATAAATAAATTTATTATTTTCTCAAAGCCCCAATTTCTTTTCTTATTGCACTAAATTTCTTTTGAACTTATAAAGTACAAGAGAGGAACAGTGAAAAGTAAGGCCTTGTCTCATCCAATTTCTAGTGTAGCCCTCTGATAAAGATCTCCCCTTGGTACAGAACCCAAACTGAGTGTGCCACCCTCCCTGATCCTTTTTAAAGTCTGCCCATCTTTGAAACAAATGAGTACTCCCTGGATCAAGTTTCTGCAGTAGAGTATATTGGATTGGATCCAGGCCTACACTTCAAACGTGAAAAAAATTCTCATCTCACAAAACTGTGTGTGTGTGTGTTTTAAGTTAGTCTTTAGTTTTTCCTCCTCTCTGGTCATCTGAGATCAGGAGTTTCGGGACAACTCAGAACACAATATTTTTTTCGATCCTGCCTCATCAGCATACTGCTTCCTACAAACATGATTTTTCGATGTGATTCCTTGGGTTCTCCAACATTCTGTTTTTCACTGATGCCAAACTGGAAGCACCCCCCCTAAACTAGGAATTGTTGATTTTGCTGCTCAGGATATACACCTTCACAGAACTACATTCTGTTTGTTTTGTTATCTGTCACCCTAGGCATGGTCTGTAGGCATCTTTACCTTCACTGTACTTCTCAATACACATGGTTTGAGATTTAACACGCTGGTTTTGTCAAAAACAGTTGTGTTTCTGTTTCTTATTCTATTTGTTGCTTTTGTGGATTCTGAAGAGAGAAAGTGAGAACATCACCATAACTCTCTAAAAAATGGAAATCTGTTGCTTCACTTTAAGTGAAACAAAGCTGGATCATATAGATTGTACATTATAGATACATTTGATGCAAAAAAAGTTAAGGTAAAACTTCAAATAGTGAAACTATATGCAAATCTGTGTTCAAAAAGCAAAACAAATGGCCTTCATCTTACACCAAAATTCATGAGTAAAAGTACATTAACGTTTTTAAGTAAAACATTCAATGCATACGTATGATTTCATGCTTCAATCAACTTTTTCAATCAAATGCTCAACTATCAGACTGATCAGATCACAGAGATTATATGAAAATTTAAAAATAAAGATGCTATCTCATTTAATTCTAACATCGATCTATAACATACATATATTTATTTATTTAGTTTTAAAATTTTTTTATTAGAGAGAGAGAGATTTGTTGTTCCATTTATTTATGCATCTTTTGGTTGATTCATGTATGTGCCCTGACTGGAGATCACACCGTCAACCTTGGTGTATTGGGATGATGCTCTAACCAACTGAACTACCTGGCCAGGGCCTTACATATATTCATGGTTTCATTTTGCAGATGATATTATTGAGTGTTAAAGCCAATGAGAGCCTAGGTAGGGCCAACACCCTAGAGATAAAGAAAGGCATCATAACTGAGGTACTGCCTGATATAGATTGTACTTAGGTAAAAGCATACTACAAGGAAACATAAGTTAAAGTGCACATTGAATGATATTGGGAGTATTGGTAATGAAATCTACTGCTCCTTGCTGCCCATCCCCTAGGCTCCAGAAAAAGGGATTAATATGAGTTAAGCTGTATAATAGGGCCCTAGCTCAGGGGGCTGTGGTCTGGGTTCAGAGAAATACCTAGTCCTCAAGAAAAACTGGGGTGATACAGTAAATGAGCAGCCATGTTCAGGTATTTTAGGACCCCCCCCCCCCCCAGTTCTTATATTTTTTGGACACTTATTTTACCTTCAATATAGCCTATGTGTTAAAGAGTATATGTGCTATTATTCAATACATTTCAAACGCTTGACCAATTTCACCCTGTCTGCATTACGTTTTAAGAGTTAAAGTTCTGGATATAAGCATCTCTTCTTTAACACTTTAATAAGATTCAACATTCCTTAAATTCTTCTGCTTTTACTTCAACTCTAAATTCTTCAATATAGTGTGGACGTGCATTTATTTTGTCTGTTGGTAAGCACACATTTTCTCTTTATTCTTCCTCATAGGCTTATTTATCTGGTGACTCCTAGTTTTGGAAAAATGCTAAACATTCTTCTTGTGCTCAATGTCTGCTAGTATATTATATAAAAATGACAAAAAGGAGCATGGGGTCTAGAGTTAGACAATCAGGATTGGAATCCTTCCTCCCCAGTTTCCCAGATTTTTGCCTTAAGAAATCCATTTACCCTAAGTCTCAATTTCCTCACCTATGGAATGAGGGTAACTGCCTCTTTCATAAGGTCATCCTTAGTATTCAGTGAACTAACATAAACAAAGCTTTTTGGCACAATGTCTGATACAAAGCAAAAGTTAAAAAAAAAACTAGTCTTTCTCATGTTGTTTTTTAAACAGTTTTAGATTTACAGAAATTGTGAAGATAAGTTTCCATATATCCACTACCCCTATATTCTGTTATAATTAATGAACCAATATTGATGCATTATTGTGAGCTAACATTCGTATTTTATCCAGATTTCCTTAGGTTTTACCTAATGTCCTTTGTGTGTTCCTGGAGCCCATCCAGGACACCACATTGCATTTAGTTCTATTGGTTGTGACAGTTTCTCAGACTTGCCTTGACTTTGATGACCTGCAGTTTTGAGGAGCATTGTCAGGCTTTTTGCAGAATGTGCCTTCACTGGGATTGGTCAGATATTTTGTTCATAATTAGACTGGGGCTATGTTTTTGAGAGAAAGGCCACAGAAATGCCACCTTCCTACATCATATCAAAGGCACACACTATCTATATGACCTATCCTTGTTGATGTGGACCTTGATTACCTGGCTGAGATAACATTTGTCACATTTCTTTACTGTAAAGTTCCTCTTTTTCCCCTTTCTGCACCATATGCTTTGGAAGAAATTCACTATGTGCAGCCCATACTTAAGGAGTGGGGGGTTATGTTCTGTCTCCTTGAGGGTGGAATATTTAAATAAATTATTTAGAATTATTTTCTGCGGGAAACTTGACTCTTCTCCTGTGTGTATTAATTAAAATTGTCTTTTTATAGCTCTATATAAGGAGGTCCAGATAAGCAAAGGTGGACAGTACTTCAACTTAATATAAAATGGGTTGAATGGACAATATACACAGTTGTCCAGAGAACCCTCTCATATTCTATGTGATCAGAAGATGAGTTAGCAATCGACCTAGTTCTGACCATTAGATGGGGGGATTAAGGATGTTGATACATCTTTGGCTAGGTCATGATTGGCTCAGGAACTAAGGCAGGTGAATGTGGAGATAAGGTGCATTGGCTGATCCTGGCTAGGGAGTGGCAATGAGGCTGAGGTGGGCCTGATAGTCTTAGGTTGGTTGACAGAGGAAGTTATCCATGTGATCACTCAAAAGATTAGTATCAATGAGAATCTTTGGAATATACAGGCAAAGGTGACTCTTACTTCTAGAAATGATGTAATTATGTGTAACTGATCTCCCTAAATTTGAAATTAGGGGCAATAAGATACAGGTTTTCTGAAACAGAAAAATATAATGCATAAAGTTCTTTCCATATTTTCTAATGTATACCTGTTCAATTACTAATAGAAATAAAATGTGAACTTGATACCAGTGAATAGCACAATCTACATATAAAGTTAAGCTAATATTCATTCTAAATTAATTACTGAATACAGCGTAATTATTACATATATTTTCATTTGAATTAAAATAAGTCATTTTCAGATATTATAGACCAATCATTCTAATAAACTAAAATAATGTTATTTTGAAATTAATATTTTCCCATATTAACAGCATTATTAACATAATTAAGCAGCTCTTATTTTTCTTTCTTAAATAAAAGATAAATAAAATGTAAAATGGGTTTTCCTATTCTTTCAATGATTATATATTCTACTACTTCCTAGAGCTACTGGTTGCAAGGAAGATATTTCTATACCTAATGCGTCTCTGTGGTTAGCTGGGAGAATAGAATAAAGATGACTTTTATAGGCAATGTGGCTATTCTTATATACAATTAGACTTCTATTACATAAGAATGTTCTATTGCTTAATAGAAATATCCTTTTATCTTCTGTGAGTTTGGCATTAAAATGTTATCAGACTTGGTCTTTGAATATAACTTCGACATATTGTTTTTGATCACAATTTCAAAGAAGTTTAATTGTTAATTCTTGTTTTATCCCCAAATTTAATTGCTCCAAATCTGTATAATCAAAAGTTAAAGAAAACTTTATTATTATTTATAATGCTTATTTTCAAGAATAATTTGAGATGGTTTATAATATGAAGTACAAAAAGTAGGGCCATAAAAGAAAGGAAAAAATTTCAAGGGTACATGATTCAAGGGAAAAGAACATGATACCAAAATAACCCATCTAAGGACAGTTGATGAAATCAAACATAAATTGAACTCTGAGCCTCCTGATAGCTATAAGTTAAAAATGCTTCTTTAAATAGTAAATTTATAGGGGGAAGAAACTGATTGGTACCAGTCGGTCTGCTTGCTTTAAGCAATAAAGCAACTGGGGAGTAAATGCATAACTGGTATAATAACTAATAATAGCCTTTAGCTTTGAAATAACAGTATCTGTGTAACTTTTCTCTTTCAAGAAATACAGTTCATTCCTTTAACCATATTTGATTCTTTATTTCAACTTATAATCAATCAAAATACCAGAGTGATCCAAGCTAAATTTAATATTTTAGATAACTCATTTAAATCATGTTGAGAATTTATTTTTTTCTCAGTGTTAGAACATTTATTACTGCTAGTCCATTGGTTTACCTCTTTGTCTTCAACGATAAGTTCTCAATTACTAGCTTAGACTAATGATGTTACCACTTTCCAGGATTCTCCCATTCAAAGGCTTTTTGAATTTAAGATTTTTTATTGTAATTAGTTATATAATCTTTAAATATAAGCAGTTCAAAATTAAAACCATTGTCTCTGGATTTACTTACAATTCCCATTTGTTCTGTTATTTTGCTTATGAACTGTATTTTGATTTGAGAATTGGCATGTTTTTCCTTGAACAAACCTAAAAGGAGAATCTCTGGAGGTGTAGGACAGCAAACTGTCCAGTGACGGAAAATGTCAACTGAAATAAAGGTAATGGAAGTTTGGATTCAATATAATTTAGAATGTTTTCACAAATAAAAGTAGAAGGCAAATAATTTTGTATTATCTCATTTCATTACTTAATAGAAATTCTCCCGTTTTTATAAAAACAATGAGTATTCATATACTGACCTTGGACTCATCTAATCCAAGCTTCTTTAGAGACTTCCTGACATAATCCAGAAAGGAGGAGGATTTGGAATAAATTTTACCAACATGCCGATCACTGTAAAACAAAATTGAATCACATAATATTTTTAAATATCTTCTGTGTATATGGCCCAAGATCCAGATATGACAAAAATGTAATAATATTTTTGTGAGCATTTTAAATGTACATATTATAAAGTGTTTGAGATTCACTTTTGAGAATTCCTTCAACATCCAGCAGTGAGAGACAGTATTATGAAGACAACACTATGAGAAAGATGTTGTAAATTTATAGTATTAAAAAGGCTTTATTTTAAAGGCAACTATGGGCCTTTCAAAAGTTTCCATTGCGCTACAAAAAAACGTTTTAATTTTACAGGCTAAGCATTACAGTGTGCATTTTATGGCAGCATCTGCTAACAGTGGTGATAATGCAACAGCTATGCAAGGAAATCTTCCTCCATGACAGCCATTGATCAAGCACCAGAACACTGAGTTGGGTCTGCCCTGATCACAATTATGCCCTGAAGATTTTCATTATCGTTTAAACAAAATATCATGAGGTAGTTTTAAGTTAATGCAATGCTAGACTATTACATTTCCAATTTTGGTTGCAATTTAGGTAGAAATCAAGGAAATAAAAAAATTCTCTATATCCAAATATCAAAAACAATGAATAAATGCTCATTTATACATGGCAATATAAACATTAATCTCTATGATTAATTAAACCCTAAGCTCTAATAATTCTTCCATTGAAATATACCTTCAGTATATTACTTCAGCTCCGATTCTAGACAGCCACCTCAATTCCACTTATTATTACCTCATGTCCTAATCATTACAGTTACTTTCTAATTAAGACTGAAGTCTGTCCCCTTCATTCCTGCCTATGTGGCCTGCTATTTTCTTCCTTTCTTTCTTTTTAAATCCTCACCGGAGGATACTTTTCAACTGCTTTTCAGATAGAGTGGGAGGAAGAGAGATAGAAAGAAACATTGATATGAGAGAGAGACATCAATTGGTTGCCTCTGCAGGACCCCAACCAGGGAGGGGGACCAAAATGCAACCGAGGTACATGCCCTTGACCAGAATAAAACCCACGATTCTTTGGTCTGTGGGATAACACTCTAACCGCTGAGCCAAACCAGCCAGGGCTGCCATGCTATTTCTTAGAGGACCATTTTTATTTACTACTTCTCTGCTTAAAAAACTGGTGTGAAATAATAGTCACTTAAATAGGTATAGGGTTCCAGAAAGCAAAAATTATATATTTTATATATTTTTATGTAATTCTCAGATCCTACACACACTTACGTTTTTTAATGTATAACAGATATCATATAATAGGTATGTACATCATATATATCACAGAATATTGAATTGGTTAACTATGTGGCCAGAAAAAGATGTCATTTAATATTAACATCCAGCTTGTCATCTTAAAAGGCTTTTAAAATGTTTTACAGAAACAAGAACATCTAGTTAGACTCTGACATTACCGCTGCAAGTAGATCTATTAATCAAGGACATTTTCACTGTAGCCTTAATTTTTGCTGAAGTACGTGAAGACAAAAGTATAGGCAAGCTTAACTATACAAACAAACGAGTGTAATTTAAATATATAGAGAACCACTGAACAAATATATAAGGAAAAGTGCAATGAAAACAAATCAAATAATAGCTAATATTTATTTTATGTTTACTATGTCAGGGTCTCTTTGTTGCATTTATTCATTTAATCCCTAAACAAGCCCATGTGGTAGGTCAAGTTATTATCCACATTTTAAAGATGGTGAAACTACAGCACAGAGTGGTTAAGTAAACTGCCCAAAGGGTGAATCCAGGAGGGTTGGCTTTAGAATCTGGGATATTAACTACTATTCAATATTACCTCCAGCACAGTACTCCTACAGGATTCATACTCAATATTGTTAAATTGAAGATGAAGAATGTCACCTCTATATTACAGACCAACAGAAATAGGGAGATTCCATGATATCCTATGAGAAGGTAGGTGTATATAATTTCATGGAAAAGCTATGCAGTCCCTCTTGCTCTACTCAAGGACAAGGAGTTTAGTGCTTTAGTGCACCTATGTGATGTTAAATCATTCTAATAATTAGAAAAAATTAGCTACATGAGAGATGGATATGTAGTAGGAGGATGTTTTTTCTTCCCACATCACTTTTTGCTAGACGTATTGCTTAAACTTATCAGCAGTTAGGGCCAGTCAGAAGTATTTGTCTTCTTTTCAAATGGCACTCAATGACTGGTGGTTATTTTCTGTTACTGTGCTAGGAGTTGAATCATCCACAGTTCATAAGAAATCTTTCACAGTTTATAAAGGAAGAAGGTGAACAAGTGCTATAATCAACATGGGAAGTAATGATGGTGAGCAGAGGAGAGTACAAAGTAGGGAGTGCTTTCGCTGCTTCTTAGGGGAGGAACTGCATTTCAAAATGTCTGTTTCCAGCAGTATTGTGAACAGCAATATTAAGAAGATAAATGAATAAATATTAACACTAGACCAACACATAAAATTAAAACAATTTGTTTTTATATTTATTTTTCAACAATTGTTCTAAAACTATGCTCCTTAAGGACTCCAAAAAGGTACTTTAAAAGGTTACAATTTTCCATAAAATATGAAAGTATAATTGTATAAGAACTAAGTCCTTTTTAAAAATATGTTGAATTCATTTGATTCTTTGTAGGACAGTATTTGCAAATAGAGTGCTATTGCTAAGAAAGTATGAAAAAAACTGGCTTGATTTATCTTCATGGGTATGAAAGAAGTGGAAAGTACCAATGATTATATTTTGGTTTAAAAATAAATATATTTTACAGAAAACCGAATGCCAATTTATATGTCACCACAGCAATACATAATTAAGTACAATGAATCAGACTTTTAGAACTTTTGGAGGAAAAAAGCTACTTTTACAGGACATGGCACCAATCTCTAAAGTCTGGGTGTCTTCAAACCTACCTTCTTAAAAATAATATCTGCAAAGACAATTTATGATACAGAATGCAATCTGCTCTTTTGAAGGTGCAAGAATAGGAGAAGGGTCTATAAATTTAAGGACAAATACTGCAATTCTATTAATTAAGAAACAAACAACAAAGAGAAAGGCCAATCTGAATCTCAATTGGAATATGAAGTAATCCCATTTTTTCACTTTTAGTGTCAGTTCCATTTCTCTTATTATATAACATTACAGATTTAGACTCTGACCCTAATAATTATATATTACGACACGACAGATTCAATGTAGTCTTAATTTTTGCTGAGGTATGTGAAGAAAAAAAGAAGTCATTCTATCCATTAATTAGCTAATAATTCACAGAGTTAATATAATTGTTTTCTGTCAGGAAAAGCCTAAGGTCAGGGCTCTGGATGCCATCTCTTTCTGCCTCCTCGTATGTATTTTCTACTTCTCTTTACCCACTGAGTCTTTTATCACATGAAAAGGCTCAAGTTTCTCTGTTGGAAAAAAAGCAAGCAAACAAACAAAATACTCCAAAACAAAACCTCTCTCTGATCCCATATCATACAACTATCTACTATATATGGTAAATATCACATGGCCAAAGGATAAAGAGCAGAGTCGTATACAAATTCAGTATCATTAAAAATATTGCAATATATTTTACATATGTAGTTATACATATACAGGCAATCAATACGCACTTGGACATTTTACATATTTCAATCACTGCTCTGGGTTATATAGGGTGTCCCCAAAAATGTATACACAATTTGAATGATTATAAAGTCAGCATTTATTAACTTACAGGTCATTTTCAAAATGCAAAAGAATCTACAGAAATGAAAAAAATGTTTTGGACAACGCTTGTTTTCAAACTGATGAGCGTCCTGGCCCAGGCACAGCTGATAACGGGAGGCAATAGAATCACAAGCATCAAGAACCATTTTGTTCGGTGATTTGTGTGCATTCTCTTTCAATAGCTGCCCTCAATTCGTCGACTGCTGTTAGTTTTTTACCATAAATTTTTATCTTTTATGTATCTCCATAAAAAAGTCTAGTGGATAAATTTTGTTTGCTCAAAGCTTAGCCTGCCTTCACCCATTATTTCAAATCAGTTAAACCTGAAAAGGAGTGAAAATTTAGTCATCAGCTATTAAAGTGTGTATACATTTTGGAGGACACCTTGTATATCTAAAACCAAGCACATAATTTTCAAGGGTAAATTTTACTATATATTATTCCTTTCTATGTTACCCCTGCACACCGTGAATTTTCTATCTGAATTCTCTTACTCATTAGACATGAGTCCATTGGTTATCTGGACCAGAAAGCATGGGCACCAGGCCAAACAATAGGTGCTATTGCTGCGATAAGACTGTTGCACTGCTTCCAAACACTGCTTAGTACTCTCCTGAGAAAGAGAATGGTAGTATTCTGATTCTCAAGTATTGTCCAATAGTGACCTTCTTAATATGTACGACTCTTCTGTCTACTATGAGTGAGCTCCTTGATGACAGAGTCCATAGGTTATTTGATAGATTATCAGCAAGGCCAACCAGTGCCTCAGGGCACAGAAGGTAGAGCTTAACACAAAGACTGCCCACTGAATATGACAAAGGCAGCAGCATAACAGAAAGATTCAGAACACAATCCAAAGTTTTGCCTCATCGGCAATAAGAACTTTTAAAATCAAGAATACTCTGTGAAATGGTGTTGTACTAGGAAGTGGAAAGATCTTAATTCCACCTTTGGTAAACAAATCACTTCTCAGAGCCCCAAAATCCTCACTAAGAAGACTGGTAGAACAGAGGTGACATCAACTTCACAGGGCAATGGGAAGATGTAAATGAGATCATGCATGTGGAACAGAATAGTAAACTGGAAAGTGCTACAGTGGTATTTATTTTGGTAATATCACAGTGTTGGCATTTTATTTTTTATTTATTTATTTATTTTTATCCTCACCCGAGGACATTTTTCCATTTTTTGTACAGATAGAGTGGGAGGGAGAGAGAGGAAGAGAGAGAGAGAGAGGGAAACATCGACGTGAAAGGGACACATCGAGTGGCTGCCACCCGCA